CGAACATAAATCTCTGGATTCTTCAGAACTTACAGCAGATGGATCATTACCCAAATGTGAGTGACAATTGGGATTTGATGTTTGGATTGGTGCTATGGAATCTATGGAATCGTCGAAATAAAATATGTTTGATGAGGAGTATCATGTCGGTGAATCCGTACTGCAGAGAAGCCAACGAGGCCTGTAGGAAATTGTCACAACCCTTGCTAGCCGTAGTAGGAACCAGACGATTCAAGGACAAAGTGTTGATCGAAATGTTAACTGGGTGCCTTCGCCGGATCGCTGGATGAAACTTAATTCGGATGGAGCAAGGTAGGCCTCGACGGGACTAGCAACGTGTGGGGGTGTTCAGGGATCATCGTGGGGAATGGATTCTAGGTTTTTCGAAGAGAATTTCGCTCTTGATGCTGAATTATGGGGTATTTGAGTCGGTCTTGAGCTGGCTTGGGAGAGGAAAATGAGACGGATTGCAAGGACGCTTTGGGCATTTTGGAAGGTAAGGTAGGGTGCAAAAGAATTTCCCCCTTGTTCCACATCTTAGTGCTTTGATTCAATGCAACTGGAGTCTTCAATTTCTCTTTGTGCCTAGAGAATGTACTATGGTAGATGATGGGTTAGTGAGCATGGCATGGGGAGATCCGTGTTGGAACCGATTGTATTGCAAGTACCAGAGGAAATTCGCGAGAAGGTTGAAACGGAAGAACTAGGTGCCGTGGAGTTGTAAGGCATCTTGCCTCCTTTTACTCAAAAAAAAAAACTCCTAGCATAGAGGGTTAAAAGTTAAATTATTAAACAAATAAAAGAATGTTTAAACATTTAATTAAATCTAGATTAACGACTTATTATATATAATTTAAACTAAAGTAATAAATTATTAATATAATAATATATTTTTATTTTAATAATATATAATAAATTAATATATAATAATATTTATTAAGAATTATTAGTTAATAATTATTATTAATTTGCTATATATTATTAAAATAAAAACAAATTATTATAATATTATAATCCTCTTATCTTAATTTTGCCTTCTTTACTTTTGATCAATAACATAACTTTTAATAAAATATTATGTGCGTAGACACCCGTTGTTGTCCGGGTTCTCATTTATTATTATTATTATTATTATTATTATTATTATTATTATTATTATTATTATTATTTTAACAATATACTTTACATTATTGCAGACTCAAATGGAGCCCAAAATACAAGACCCGGAGCCCACAATAAATACAACTCCAGCCCACCAGAAATCGGCCCCATTACAATGACCCAAGAAGACCTACAGACCTGACCCGGTTATAATCAACCCAACCCGAAGCTCGGGTCCGACCCGACTGGAGCCCAACTTGACAACCGAAACCCGGCTAGAGTTTTCTCACTTTAGCCCTAAGCCGTTCAATCTCATCCATACAATCTAGACCCAAATCAACGGTCTAGATCAGTGATATTTAGGGTTTCTAAAACCCTAACCCTAAAAACTACTACCACCGCCGTCTGTTGCTTCTGCCACTGCCATCGCACTATTATAGTCGTCATCACATTACTGGTGCCCTAACGTTGTCATTCCAGTCTATTATCACATGTCAGCCAAAAACATATAGAAAAATTAATCAAACAACTCATAAAAAATAATAAAGAAATATCCACTTGCAAGCATGAAATCTCGAGAAAATCCAGGACTGTCAATCACAAAAAATAAAGTAATTATACTCTATCTTCTAAGCAGTACAAGGACAGAGCATCAAATCATCCAACATGCAAGATAAAAGAAGAGGGGACCATTTTCGAACTGGGAGAGAGAAACAAGAAGAGAAAACTTTCAGAAAAAAGAGATAAAAAAATAACCTGAAAAATACCCATAAAAACGAGAGGAAAAGGAAATCTGAGAGGGAGAAGAGGAGGTTTACCTACCTCGACGCTTGTCAGTCATCAAGACGGTTACTAGAGTCAAAGAAACCAAAGGGTTTTTCTTAGATCTACGTTTTTAGGGACCTTTTTTGGTTAAAAGAAGCTCGGATCCTCGATCAGGGTGAGGAGACACTTCGAACGACCTATTTTCTCACTTCAACGGCTTCGGAGAATGGCGGTAGCTGCCGGTGTGGCGGAGGCCCACCGGATTCTGGAAAACTCAGCTTCAGGTTGAAGCTTTTGAGATATATATATATATATATATATATCTTTCAAACGAGGAAATGAAACAAATGAGAAGAGGAAGTTTACCTACCTCGACGCTCATCAGTCATCTCGACGGTCACCGAAGTCAAAGAAACCGAAGGGTTTTTCCTATATCTATTTTTTAGGGACCTTTTTTTGGTTAAAAGAAGCTCGGATCCTCGATCAGGGTGAGGAGACACTTTGAACGACCTATTTTTCTCACTTCAACGGCTCTGACGAATGGCGGTGACCGCCGGTCAACGACGGTCGATGTAGCGGAGGCCCACCGAATTCTAGAACTCGGCTTCCGATTGAAGCTTTTGAGAGATATCTCTCTCTCTCTCTCTTTCAAACGAGGAAATGAGACAAATGAGAAGAGGAGGTTTACCTACCTCAACGCTCGTCGGTCATCTCAACGGTTATCGGAGTTAAATAAATTGAAGGGTTTTTCTTAGATCTACGTTTTAAGGACCTTTTTTGGTTAAAAGAAGCTTGGATCCTCGATCAAGGTGAGGAGACACTTCGAACAACCAATTTTTCTCACTTCAACGGCTTCGGCGAACGGCGATGGCCGTCGGTCAACGACGGCCAGTGTGGCGTAGGCCCACTGTATTCTGGAAAACTCGACTTCTGGTTGAAGCTTTTGAGAGATATCTCTCTCTTTCAAATGAGAAATGAAACAAATGATGAAGTGAACCGGTTTAGGCTTTGCTTCTTCCCTTATATATACGTCGTACGAAACGACGCCGTTTCGGAAGGGAGCAGGAGGGCACTTTAGCGTGTGGGTAAACTCCCCTTGAGGTCCTTCTGGTTTTGTAGCCTTTTATCCTATTTACTAATAAAATTTTACTTTCTGTGATTTCGAGCCCATTATTTATGCAATGTTCGATATGATCATCAAATGAAATTTATTTGTTCTTGTTCTGAGCTTTAACTTTCGATATGGTTGTGATTTAGTCACAGTTTGTTTTATTTTATTACTTTATTAACATTTTTTATTTGGATAGCTAATTTGCAGAACGTTCATTTTAATCATTGTTTATTTACACGACAAATTCCTTAATTTTTGCTAGGTCTCGATTTAGTCCTTCTCCTTTATTTTTGATAGTTTCTTAATCATGTCAATACATTTATTGTGCATTTCATGTTAGTCCTCTTGTCTAATGTTTGTCTGATTTCGGTTTATTTGTGTCATCAGTCCTTATCTATCTTAGTATTTGTAAGTTAACCACTGTTCTATCCTAAAAATATATATGGATTATTACATGTTTAGCCCCTTTTTTATTTTGTTGATTTGATCTCTATTTTATTTACTTACTGCATATTAATACTTTAAGATTGGTGTATGTATTTTTGTTGTAAATATCACTATGCATGGGTTGTTGTATTAAATATTTGTATGCGTATGTTTGAGTGTTCATATATGTTCATCTATTTTACATATTATATTTATGTATTTATATTTATGACTACGTGTATATATTCCCTACCTTTTGGAATTGGTTTCGAATGATTGTACAAAATGTTCGTTTTATTCATTTTTATTGTTTTTTTACTCGAATAATTTCAACAATTATTTGTAGAATGGGCGTGGAAAACACTGCTTGGTCGAAGCAGTGTGATCCGTACGACGTTCGAACGAAATATGAACTTGAAATAAATCGAGTTTATTTCACAAATTAATTCGTTTTTATTTTTTAATTCAAATGATGCAAGACATGTTTCTCTAAATATCAACTTATTTTATTTAATGCAAATGCCAATATTCAATTTATATTCTATTTGTTTTTTTTATATCGATGAGGGAATATTCTTTTTGGTCAAGAAATAGGAGAGATAGCCTTTCCGTCTGAGAATGAGCAAATCTCAATATTTCTTTTCTAATTAAAGGATTTTCCCTAATAAATAATTCGAAGCAAATTAATTAAACTTTAATAAATGGATCACATTCTAACTATATATTCGATTCACAATTTCCACCATTTACGACAAAATGTAAGCAATTAAGTACCAATTTTGGGCACTGTGGGAGTGTTTATCCTTCCCAGGCGTAATCGACTTCCGAACCCTTAAAAATGATTTTTTTTTGGAAAACACAAATCAATTTTTGTCTTGAAAAATGATTTTTTCTTAAAATCGTTTTAAAATATGTTTTTAGGTATTCGACCTACCTAATCAAAAGGTCGATGGTGACTCCCAATCAAATTAATTCAAATTAATTTAAAATCTCCAATTTTTTAAATAAAGTCATACTTATTTTTAAACTTAATTGTTGTAAAAAAATGATTATGACAATGTGAATCTATAATCTAATGTAACACTTAATAATTAGTGCTCTAGCAACTCACTCCAGTCTCTCAAGTTTAATTAAGTTTGATTTTCTTATTTTATCTCTTTGATTCATTTTTCGTTAATATGAGATGAATATAAATTAATATTTATTTAAAAAGATCCTTTGATCATTTAATATTAAATATTTATATTCGTCCACATATAATATTTAAATTCAAAATCTCAAAAAATAGCATCGATTATTTAATAACTATTACTTAATTCCTCCCCATCTTTAGTTTTATTTAAAAGTTAAATGATTGATAAATTTTTATCTTCTAAAAAATCCATATATTGCATTAAATCAGGGCCACTATTTAACTACTGAAACAAAACACACTCCATCGAGATGACAGAATCTCTACAAAAAAAAAAACTAGTAACAGCAGTAATCTCCATTTCTTCTTCCCTTCGAAATGAAAACCATCGTCTCCATCTCCATCCTTTTCTCTATCTCCTTCATCTTTTCTTAACCGAATCTTTTTTATTTTCTCAGATTTTCACAAACAAAAGAATTGTATTCTTCTTTTTCTCTCTCGAAAAAAGAAACCCTAAAATGAGTAGCTTGGAGGAGTCCTTAAGATCTCTCTCCCTGGACTACCTCAACCTCCTCATCAATGGCCAAGCCTTCTCCGATGTAACTTTCAGCGTGGAAGGTCGGTTAGTCCATGCCCATAGGTGTATTTTAGCAGCAAGGAGTCTTTTCTTCAGGAAATTGTTTTGCTCACCTGATCCTCCATCTGGGTTAGACCCAGCTGGTTCAAGGATGAACCCAACAGTAGCAGGATCAAGGACTGGTGTTATTCTGGTGAGCTCAGTGGGATATGATGTGTTCTTTCTGCTGTTACAGTTCTTGTATAGTGGTCAAGTTCCTGTTGTGCCTCAAAAGCATGAGCCGAGGCCTAGCTGTAGTGAAAGAGCGTGTTGGCATACACATTGCACCTCGGCCGTTGATCTTGCTCTCGACACTCTCTCCGCCGCTAGATACTTTGGTGTTGAACAGCTTGCAGTTCTTACTCAGGTTTCCCTTCTTTCTATTTTTCTCATAAATCATTATAACTCGTAAACTGAACCTTGATCAGTGTGTATGAGAGGTCTTGTTTATCTTTCTATTTGGGTTTTTTAGGTATCCAAGAAGAAGAAGAAAAAAACTAAACTTTGGTTTTGGGAAGGGGGAGTTAAAATCAGAAATTTTCTCCTATCTTTCCCATACTTTTGAAGTAGCAGTTGTAGTAATTGGGTTTGATCTTCAACTCATTTAGAACTGTCTGTTTTCTGCAACAGAAGATCTTCTTTTTCAGTTTTTTCTGCTTCAGCTCTTGATTCAACTGCTAGTAATTCCTTTGGTTTTCTTTTACTGTATTCTCGGGCTCTTCCTCTACTTCATCATCATCATCATCATCTTCACCTTTTTCTTCAGTGTTCATGTACTGTTGATGTTGAAAAGATTTACCATATTTCTTTCCAGTAAATCTGCTGTTAAACCAATATTCATGTACCATAATAAATACGCACAAAAGGGTCCAACTTTCATTTCTTGTCTTGATTATCACTAGTCATGTCTTCCACAGTAAGTAGCCCAAATCTTTCTCAAACATTTACTTTCCTCATTTGGGTTTAAATTGGAAAAGAAACAACCTACTCGACAAGCAAAAACTGACTAAACGTAATTTCTGCATTAAAACCTTCTTCTTTTTTGCTTTAACCAATGCAAACGACAGATCTTCCCATTTCCAATACGATTTCCCATCTGCCAAAGCTGACGCTTGTTCTCTTTGATAGAAACAATTGGGCAGTATGGTCGAGAAGGCCTCAATTGAAGATGTGATAAAAGTACTAATGGCTTCAAGAAAGCACGACATGCACCAACTTTGTACTACCTGTTCCCATCTAGTAGCGAAATCAGGCCTACCACCAGAAGTTCTCGCCAAGCATCTTCCCCACGATGTGGTGGCCAAAATCGAGGAGCTGCGTTTCAAGTCATCGCTTGCTCTACGCTCCTTAATCCCCCATCACCATGATCTCCCTTCGGCCGATCTCGTGGACCAAAAGATTCGTAGGATGAGAAGGGCATTAGACTCATCAGATGTTGAACTAGTCAAGCTCATGGTCATGGGAGAGGGTCTGAATCTTGATGAAGCATTGGCTTTACACTATGCGGTCGAGAATTGCAGCCGGGAAGTTGTTAAGGCCTTGTTAGAGCTCGGCGCAGCTGATGTTAACTATCCGGCCGGTCCAGCTGGTAAAACGCCGCTCCATATAGCGGCGGAAATGGTGTCACCAGATATGGTTGCTGTGGTTCTAGACCACCACGCAGACCCTAACGTGAGAACCGTTGATGGGGTTACCCCTTTGGACATTCTTCGAACGCTAACCTCTGATTTCTTGTTCAAAGGTGCGGTGCCGGGGCTAACACATATCGAACCGAATAAGCTTAGGCTATGTCTTGAGCTTGTTCAATCCGCTGCTTCGGTTATATCGCGTGAAGAAGGGAACGCCAACCCACTAATGAGTAGTGATGAACAACATAATAACAGTAGGTTGGTTTATCTCAATCTCGGTGCTACAGGTTCAACTCAAATGGACGGTGATGACGAATATAGCAGCCACAACAGGCAAAGAGCAGTGAATCGACATGACCCAACTATGTACCATCACCCTAATGACTTCTAGCTTCAAAAAAAAAAAAAAACTCTATCTCTCTCTATATATATGACAATGGATGTTGAAAGACAGGTGCATGAAAAACACGCATGAATCATGAGAGATTATTGGATTACATATTTTCTTTTGTCAGTCCCTTGCTTTCAATCACTAGAAGGGTGTTTTGCTAGCTGGGATTTATTTTATCTGATTTTTGTAGGGTTTGAATGAAGATGATATGAAGTGTAGAGTTTCATTGGAGATGGGATGTTTCTTTTTCTTTCTCTCATGGGATGGGACAAAGAGAATCTGAGATTTGATCTGTGAGGGGTGATGGGGAAGAAATGCAGGTCAAGATCTTTTCATACACGCCCAGTCAACTCCTTTGTATTTATCGACACTACTCTCTAAATATCATGGCCTAGCTATTGTCACCTCTTATTTTTGTTGTCCCACAATACCTACCTTTTCCATTATGCTGCCACTTTATATGTACACAGATAAATGATAAAAATGTTCAATCATTTTATATAAACTAACGCAAGACTAATTCAACAAGTGATTGTAAATAGTGGCATTTTTTTTTGTTAAGTCTATGAATCAAGTTACAAGAATTCTGGAATCCTTTCTTCGAACAGAAAAATATAACAATTAATTAGGAGGGATTTTGTTTATTGTCCATTAGCACTAAAATAAGAAAATACTGTAAAATTATGTTGCTTTAAATGCTCCCAAGCTTTACTAGGGTAATAGTCGCCATGAGCTGCAAAAAGATGAACTTTAATGTAGGGATTTAAATTGCGATTATGATCATGTTTTAGGTTATTCTATGTTTATCATAATTGCGGACATAACAAGTATTATTATAATTATTACGGATATCACGGTCATATAATAACAGTTTTAGACGGCACCAATATCACTATATAACTGTTGTTATTCCTACTGTGGATTGCCTACTAGAATAATAGCAATATACCTTTTACAAGTATAAGGAAAACGAACCATAAATATATGCACACATGTCGGAGATATTACACCAAATCGACGAATTATTTAAGTCATGTAAAAGACACAGCCCTTAGAGATATTCGCCGGATTTTTGTATTCAACAAGTAGTTGTATTGAATCTATTAGCCAAAATAAGTAACTTTCTACGTTTAGCCATATAAAAACAACGTCAGCTTATCAACAGGCACCGGCAATTCAGAAACAAGATAATTGCTCCACAATAATCTAGAGTTTTCTTTGCCACTGAATTCAACCGATTCATACATACATACATACATATATATAATTTTCTTAGTTTACGTATTTTTAAGATTGTCAGATGAATAAAAATAGACTGTTAAGATTAACAATAGGAAAAAAATATATTCATTGAAAAAAGAAAACAATAAAATAATTTCAACCGTCTATTTTCACTCATTTAACGATAAACTTGAATTTTTTACATTGATTAAGATAATCCAAAATTTAACCCTTAATATTAGGGACTCGAATAATTAAATTTTGTTAATTCAAGAAGGTTTGGCTCTCGAATATTTCTACTATCTTCCATGAAACTAAAAGGTTTAAATACACCATTGCCCCGTAAATTATGTCATTTGTACTGAGTTACCCCTTAAAGCATTTTTTGAGACGTTTATCCCCTAAAGTTTAAAATGTTACCTCATTTGCCCCAAATCGTTAAATCCGTTAAAAATACCAAGGGTAAAGCACTTAATTAGTCACTTAACTATTCTTACAGTTTTGGTTTGGTTAGCCAATCTTTTCTTTCTTTTCAAAATCATCACAAAACGTATATGGCTTCTTTACAAGTTGCTAACTTTTGTATCTTCTTCTTCAAAGCAAACATATGCAGCCATGTCCATCCCAAAGATTATATCGATTAAGCTTTCACCTCCTAAATTGCAACCCAAGATATTGTCTCAAGAATTGAAGATTAAAGATGGATTCGTCCACACAATCCCAACCATTGTTTCAAGCAAACTCATCTTCTTCAGTGGCTACCTTACAAAAACTTTATGTTGTCCTAAAGGAGTGAAGATGAAAAAAAAAAACGTTGGAGAACAACGATATAACTGGAGCACCCATCTATTTTCTCTTTCTTTTTCGTTATTTGTATTTAATGTTGTGATTGATGATATATTGCGGGACATAATTGCACTTACAATCAGTATACAAACAAATTGTAAATTTTATGTATGGAAATGTTTTATGGTGCTTTATTGATGTAAATCAGAATGCAGTCTTTCTTATTATTTGTCATTGTACTTAACACATACTAATACCGGTGTAAAAGAATAAAATAAAAAAGTGTAGCACTTACCTCATACATATGCCGGTGTAAGTATGTACATCTCTCAATATCTTTACAAGGAGGAAAACCAGAAATAATCGCATTTGAAAAAGGAATATTGTACAATTATGGTTTGACTAACTTATAGTCTGTTTTTTGCTACATTTTTATGTATTTGATGTGGTGGAACTAATGTAAACTTTGAATCATTTTGTGAAGCTTTATTAAGTTACATTGCACTTATAGTTATTATGAATTTATTATGTATGAAAACTAATTATAACTTTTATGTATGGAAACATTTTTGTAGTGCTTTATTGATGTAAAACAAATTGTAACCTTTCTGACCTTTTGCAATTGCACTTAACACATACTTACATTGGTGTAAGTGAATAAAATAAAAAAATTGTAGCACTTAACACATACTTACACCATTATATGTGAATAAAATAAAAAGTATAACACTTAACATATACTTACACCGGTGTAAGCATGTACATCTCTCAATATCTTGATATCTAACAATATTTTTAAATTCATACAATTTTAAATTTTTCATTGTGTTTCATTAATAGTCCTAAAGCAAATAAGCTTTTCAAACTAGTTTTACATCAATAGTATTCATAGCCAACAACAGTAACCCCTACATCAATGAAGTTGATATCCAACATTACTAACCCCTAAATCAATGGAATTCATATACAATAGCACTAATTCATAAATTAATGAATTTCATATCCAAAAACACCTATTGTACATCAGAGGAATAACTTTATTACAACATAGACATGAAATCAATCTAACCTTGTACAACATTGCTTGATTCATGTTCTTAATTGATCTTTTGTCTTCATAAGATTCTTCTCTGGCCCTTCCACTTCACCAACATTCAACATTTTTCTTCAATTCATAATTTTTTATTCTAATATCCATATTTTTGAATAATAATATTTGTATGCCACTTCTTAATTCATCAACATTAATCGATTTTCCATGCTCTTTTTAATTCATTAGAAGAAATCACAGTGTTGTTATACATTAGAAAAAAAATTAAAATTATAACATATTTCAAACTATGAAATTGAATGGATAAAAGAAGAATCCAAAATATGAAATAATACCTCATTCAATCTAGCAGAACCATAAAATTTCTTCCCTTTGATCCAAGGGATAGTTGAAGTGCAAATCGATGCTCTCAATCCACATCAATAAAGTACCACAAAAATGTTTTCATACATGAAAGTTATAATCTGTTTTCATACATAATAATTTTTTTTGATTTTAAGTGCAATGTAACTTGTTCAAAAAAAATGTGAATTACATTTATGGATTTAATATTTATATTAAATTCAGAGTCCTTTTAGCTATTGCAAATTAAAAGATATGGTTTAATTTGAATATTAGTAGGATTATTACTCTTTTAATATGTCAATTTAAAATTGTACGTGTTACCTTTTTAACTTTGAATATTAAAAGATAATTATATACTTTTGTATATTTCAAATTAAAAATAATATTTGTTTAATTTAAATAATAAAAGAAGTGTATATCTATTTAATGTTTTAAATTTCAAAGACATTATTATCTGTTTAAATTTAGATATTAAAAGATATATTGTTGGAGTAAATTTCTCAGGTTTAATATTTTAAATTTAAAAGATATTATTATTTGTTTAAATTTAAATATTAAAAGAGATTTAATTGGAGTTAATCTCTCTTGAAATTCCCCTATAAATACTGAGCAAATCTCTCAGTTTTTTCATAACTTAGAATTCAAGAAGTTTTCTACTATTGAAAATATTTTCTCTCATTCTCAGAAAATATTTTGTTCTCCTTAGTTTTTCGGTGATAGTCGAAGGCAAGGAAAGTTTGTGATCTCTATTGTTATGCTACTGTAGCTGACCATCTAGTTGTTGTATCCTGGGCGATAGACGACCAAAGGATCTCGAACACCTAGGAGTGGTCGAAAATCTATATTAAGGAAATTGTGTTGCGACAAGCATCAACTGATTCCGAGATCACAAGATCAAGATAAAAAGAGTATTTTATCTTCTTTTTTTTAAGAATTTAATTTCTTCTTTTAATTTCTCAGGTATAACAATATTAAGATATATTTATCTTCTTCTACCTTTCTTGATCCAATATAATTTAGAATTGTAGGAAAAATGAAACACAAGATAGTAAACAAATTGGTTTCAAGATTTACCCTGATGTCTTAATGAGTTTACTAGAATCTCAAAGTGGACAAATCTGTATAACAAAAATTGTCATGAAAGAAACTGTGGTTACTAATTTTGTTTCAGAACTCTAATTCTGTCTTATAACAAAATCTAAAATAAACAAGAATTAATTTTTTATTGGAATTATTTCTAATTTTGTTTCTTTTATAAAAAATAGAGACAATACACCCTATTGATTTACCCAACATGGATACTAAGATGGTGGTACTGGCTCAAAATCCAAATCTGAATGTGAGTTAATCGGTAGTGGCAATTAACCACAACGAAAAGTCGAAAAAATTCTACTAAGAGAATTTTAAGATGTGATAACAGAAGATGGCTTTCTATTTGACCACATGGAACCTTTCAAGGTTCTTGAAAGAAGATCCTCATGTTCCTAAAGATGGAGAAGACAATGTTACTACTTTTGATATTATTGAAGCTTGGAAGAATTTAGATTATATATGTCGGAATACAATACTGAATTTCTTCAAGATTCATTATATATGGTATATGTTGGTTATGAAACATAAAAAAATTGTAGGAAGCATTGGACCACAAATACAAAACTGAAGATGCTGAAACTAAAAAGTTTTTAGTTTCCATGTAACATCTCGAAATCAGGGTTAGTGACTAAAATGAAATTTTT